TGATATCTTCAACTCAATGGGAAACGGCTCTCCTGGACTATCTTGGAAATGCCCAGACAGACAGTTGATCAGAGTCTTTGACCAAATCAGGCGGGCTTCTGGATAGCGTATTGCTACCCTTCCAGAATTTTAGCTTTTGATCCAGTCCAAGGATTCCAATTGTTTTGGTTTGTCACTTTTCTAGGCCTTAGAGCTGCATCTGATTCAGTGTATCGTCAAACGATGTCTACATCTTGTCTACGTATGGAAGTAACGGTTATAAGTCGAGATTTAATTTCGACAGTTAGGCAATGGAGTCGATTTCCAATGCATAAAATGCGCCGGTTCCTTTCTCGAATTTCCTTGATTCGCACTGGTTGACGACGTGGTCGACTGTTCGGTCCGCATAGCTGCAGTCGCACGCTGGGGTTTCTTTGTACCGCCATTTGTGCAAGTGGTGCCCAGTGCTGACGTGGTTGCGCAGATTTTGTTTCTAGGTTGCCCACTGTTTATGAGCCAAGTGGAATCCGGGCAGACTCTTGTCGGATCGTCGATTAGGTGTTTGTCTGTTCAGTTGGAATTGAGCCAGATCTTCATCACTCATCTTTGAAGCCAAACGCTGATTCCGTTAAGCCAGGAGTTAGTTTGTCAGAATGATTTCCGCGATTTGAAACTCACCGTAGACCGGTTCATGAGGTCTTGGTAAACAGACAAGTTTGGTTCATCCTGAACTTTGTGGTATTCTCTTAAGCAGCTTTGGCGCCTTCCTATGTCGGATGGAGTTATGTTTGAGAGTACCGGTAACCAGGGTACTAGTGGGGTGCTGAGAAGGGTTCTTGTTATGACCCTCATAGTGCTGTTAAAGACGGCATCGACGTTCCGTGTATGGTTGCTTTGGAGCCACGCATCTGGGTAACATTTCGCTGTAGGGTGTACAACAGCGAGGGTGCAGTTTGCTGGGTATGGGCATCAGAACCCCAGCTTGTTCCAACCAGATTCTGCATGACGTTGTTCTGAGCCTTGATCTTGGCGCAGGTCCTTCGGAAGTGTTCTCGGAACGTGACGCTGCAGTCCAAGCTTACTCGCTGGTATTTCGGATTGGCTTCGTTCTGACTCGGCTGTCACAGAAAGATACGTCGAGGATAGGCGTTAGCTAGTGGCTGTTGAGGTAAAAGGCGGTGGCAGTCGTTTTCAACGGGCTGGGCAGCGGCGCCATCGTTGGTAATATTCTTCTGTTGTCTTCAGGTCGGTGGTTAGGGTTCGGTCGACCTTGTCGAGACTTCTACCTCGGAACGCAAGTGCCATATCGTCCGCGTAGGCAAACTTTCTGGCTGATGATGGCGGCATGTCGCCTGTACAAATGTTGCAGAGTATGGGTGCGCCGAGATGGGGCCTTGCAGCGATCGGTCATTTACTGTCTTGGTTGAGCTTACCTGATCACCAAAATACACTCGGAATCTTCCGTTTCTGAGTACTGATGTTAAGAGGCGCAGTTGCTGCAACACCTTAGTATCTCTGCAGATTTCAACGACAATCGGTGTCTTTGCATCACTTCGAAGGCTCAACCGAGGCCCATACGAGCTACTCCAGTTTTTGGCCTTCTTTCCAATTCAGACGCCGAATTCAGTGAGTAACATTAGTGCGATTACCTGTTCGGTGCAACTTCATGCGGACCGGAGGCTGACCTGCTCATTCGGCAGTGCTGGCTCTGTGATAGGCGTGAGGCGTGCCAACAGAGCCCGCACCAGTGACTTGTACGCTATGCTGAGGAGCGAGATGAGTCTGTAGTTTGATGCTTCATTAAGCAAGTTTTGCAGGTTTCAAGATGGCAACCATGTTCGCCTCTTCCAGAAAGCCGGTATGTCCCCGGTGAGGTGGATTTCTGTGAAGAGTGCGATGAGTTATTCTCGACTGTTATGTTCCAGAGGC